GGACAACTGTGGTCTGGGGTCAGGGCAGGGACTAGCCATGGGCAGCTCCCATATAAAAAATGGTTGTTGGGCTGGGGTTGTGGCTCAGCGGTAGAGCACTCACCTCGCACGTTCGAGACCCTGGGTTCGATCTTCAGCACCACATAAAAATAAATAAGTGAAATAAAGGTATTGTGTCCAACTACAACTAAAAAATAAATATTAAAAAAAAAAGTGGTTGTAAACAGCTGGTGGTCATCAGGGAAGCCACTGATGTGTGTGACAGTCAGTGCCTAGGCCAAGAAACACCCAGCTGCATTTTGAGCTCCTAGGGCCCCTCCTCAGCTGTGGTCACCCCACACCTGAAACCTTGTAACCCAAGAAGTAGTTGACTAGGTCATCTTCCTCCCCCACACCTTCCTTTTGCAAAGAAGGAACATTCCATTGCATCAGATTGAATGTTGTGATCAACATGAGACTCAGAGGAGCTGCCAAGGGCTTGCAAGAGGAAGCCAAGAGAGAAAAGAGACTCAGCAAAATAAAGCTTCACCTGTGGATATTTTGAACTGCTATTTTGAGGCTCTGGGAGACTGACTGCCTGGTTCTGGTGTCAGGTGCTTCGTCTGCTGGGCGCTGATATTATAGCTCCCTGCATCCAGCTGTAATATTTGTGCCCATTTCTTTCTGCAGCAGAGTCCTGCCAGGCTTGGAAAGGAGGGCTGATGGGCAGGCCTGGTCTCTACCACATATATGTAAGAGGCATAAGTGGGCCAATGTTGGAGGAGGGTGACATGCCCCTGTGGAGGCATCAGGAATCAGAGAGGACCTCAAAAAGAAGAAAATCTTAGGGAGTCCCCCAGTCAAGAAAGGGTATGTGGGGCTGGGGTTATAGCTCAGTTGGTAAAGCACTTTCCTAGCACGTGGGAGGCACTGGGTTCAATCCTTAGCACCACATAAAAATAAAGGTGTTGTGTCCATCTACTATTAAAAAAAAAAAAAAGGAACAAAAAGGGTATGTGCTGCCAGGCACAGTGGAACAGGCCTGTAATTCAGAAAGCTGAGGTGGGAGGATCACAAGTTCAAGGCCAGCCTGGGCTACTTAGGACCCCATCTCAAAATTTCAAGAATGAAGTTCTGGGTTTGATTCCCCAAACCACAATAAATAACAATGAAAAAGAGTGGGGATGTGACTCAGTAGTAGAGCACCTGATTCAATCTCAATCTCCAGTACCACATACACACACAAAAAGAGAGAGAGAGAGAGAGAGAGAGAGAGAGAGAGAGAGAGAGAGAGAGAGAGAGAAGAAAGGGTATAGCTAACTAGATACTAGAGACTATGGAGGCTGAGACAGTAGGCTTGTAAATTCAAGGCCAGCGTCAGCAACTTAGAACCTGTCTCAAAATCTTAAAAAATTTAAAAAGGGCTTTCAAAGGACAGGTTCTTTGTCACTGGAAATCAAGCAGAGACTCTCATAGAGAAGGGAGCCATGGAGGATGATGAATGAACAAGACAGACTCTCAGAGGTCCAAGTATAAACTAAGTTGACAATGCAAGTCTGTGCATTCTGCTTACAGCCTCACTAAGTTGCTAGGGCTGGCCTTAAACTAGCGGCCCTCGTTTCTCAGTCTCTCAAGTCGCTTGGATTACAGGCGTGTTGGCCACCAAGCCCAGTATGCTGTGCAGTCTTGCCTCCATCTAATACACTCTACCTGGTCCATCTTTAGGCAATGAGCTCTACCAACCTCCAAATCACAGCATGATCTTTCTGTCTCTGTCTTTGCTGGTCCATTTGCCTGGAATGTCCTTTCACCACCTTCCACTTAATCACTTTGTAGTTTTCAAGATTTGGCTGCAGGGCTGGGGATATAGCTCAGTTGGTGCAGTGCTTGCCTCACATGCACAAGGCCCTGGGTTCAATACCTGGCACCAGCAAAAAAAAAAAAAAAAAATCTAGCTGTAGTGACCATTGTAGAAAAGGCACCATGCTTTTATTTTTTTTATTTTTTAGTTTTCAGTAAACACAATATCTTTGTTTGTATGTGGTGCCGAGGATCGAACCCTGGTCCCTCGCATGCCAGGCGAGCGCGCTACAGCTTGAGCCACATCCCCAGCCCCGGCACCATGCTTTTAGAAAACCATCTCCTTTTTCCTTCCAAGGTACCTGGACAGATATCTGCCATTTTCCTTCATGCCATGCCAGCCCCCCACAGGCAGGTATTCAGGAAATGCCTGATGATTGACTGAGGGAAGGCAGCAGAAAGAAAGGCCAAGCACCAGAGCCAGAATCCAACACTCAAGAATGCTTGGTTAAGTGCCTGGTGAAAACTAAGGTTTCCCTTATGTAAGATTTTGTGTGTGAGAGAAAACGAGTAGGGAACCTGCTCCCTATTTTGCCCAGCTGAGCACATGAAATGTGCACATGAAATGATGCGCAAAAATTATGCCCTGTCCCCTGGTAATCAGAAAGGTCAAGGCAGTGCTTCTTCAAGGAGAAAGGCAGAGTGAGACCCTGGCAAATCTAAGAGGGGCTCCATGTCTCCTGTGTGCAAGAGGACTCAAGAGCCTAAGGATTCTGAGCATGGCCCCAAATAGAAGCTGGGGTGGAGAAAAACTCAGACTGTTCTCTAAATAACTTCCTGCCCCTGCCATCTGCTGCCAGACAGTCAGGGAAGAATGCAGCCTGCATGGCTTCCTTTAAGAGCTATCAGAGCTATGTCCTGGTACAATGGAGTCTTAAGGCACAGAAGGTCCCACCCCTTTGCCTCTCTGGATCCCAGAATAGGGCTAGAGTTCTCCTGTTCAGCCCTTTTCCCACAAAGAGAACCTGATCTCTCGGTTTTCAAAACTGAAGGCCCTTAAAAAATATATAAATAAAAATAAAAAATAAATCACACATTTAAACATTTTTTTTGAAGGCCCTAGAAGAGGCAAGCCAACTTGTTTTTTAGTTCTTTTTGGTACCTTTTTCTTAAGTACCAGGGATTGAACCCAGATGCAGCAGTCTGGCTGGGCACACAATCACGAGCCACCACACAGCTTGTAGATTCAAACAGCAACTCTTTATTCCCGAACTCACACCAGCCATCTACAATCACGTTCTGGGGAAATCCACGTTCTCTTCCCAAGTCCACATTCTCTGCCCAAATCCACCTCCACTGGGCTTCTATCTCCAAAATATACTGTCTAAATCCCGTGAGAACTCAAGGGGAACTCAGGCAGCAGGATACGCCCTATTCCCAGCAGGAATAATCTTAAACCTTAAACCTGGAACCTAAACCGGGAACGCCCTAATCCAAGGTCACCTACATTCAATGTCACTGCAACATGGGGTACGCTGGCAAGGAAATTGTCATACCTACTTGGCTAATGGCTCCCAGCACCCAGAGGTGCTCTACCACTGTTTCATCTCCTTTTTATCTTGAGACAGGCTCTCACTAAGTTCCTGAGGGTCTCGCTAAATTGCTGAAGCTGGCCTCAAATTTGCCTCCTGCCTCAGCCTCTGGAGTTGCTGGGATTATAGGTGTGTTCCACCATGCCCAGCTCACATCCCTGGGTGCTTTATCATTGAGCTACATTTCTAGCCACCCACCTATTTTTAGGGACAGTACAAGGATTGAAATCAGGGGCACTCGACCACTGAGCCACATCACCATTTATTTATTTATTTATTTATTTATTTATTTATTTATTAAAGAGAGAGAGAGAGAGAGAGAATTTTTAGTATTTATTTTTTAGTTTTTGGCGGACACAACATCTTTGTATGTGGTGCTGAGGATCGAACCTGGGCCGCACGCACGCCAGGCGAGCCACATCCCCAGTCCCTTGTATTTTAGAGACAGGGTCTCACTGAGTTGCTTAGCGCCTTGCTTTTGCGAAGGCTGGCTTTGAACTTTGATTCCCCTACCTCAACCTTCAGAGCCCCTGGGATTACAGGAGTAGGCCACCGCACATGATTCCCTTTTGAGACAGGGTCTTGCTAAATTGTCCAGGCTGGCCTCAAATTCACAATCCTCTTGCATTAGCCTCCTATTAGCTGGGATTACAGGTATACCAACATACTTGACCTGGGATCTTTTTAATCAAGTTTATAGGCTGTTGTTCCCACATTTCAATTAGGAGGATGGTGGCCACTACCCAAAAGGTTCTATTTACATCATTTCCTAGGAACTTTCCCTATTTCCAACAAGGTCTCTTCACACTAGGCTGAATGTTATGACATCTGCATTAGTTATGTATGCGTGGTACAAATGTCAGTTTAGTTGAAGATTATGTAGCTAAATTTAGGAAAAATAGCTAAATAAATAAGACTTTCTTTTCTTAGCACTGGTTATTTTGGTGCACTGGGATTGAACTCAGGGGAAGCTTTACCATTGAGTTACATCTCCAATTCTTTTTTTTTTTTTTTTGAGACAGGATCTTGCTGAGTTGTTTAGACAGGTCTCAAACTTGCAATGCTCCTGCCTCAGCGGGTTTAGTCGCTGGAGTACTGAATTGTTTTATCATGTTTCTCCTAAATAAAATATCCAGAATCCAGCATAAAAATCTTAAGAGATTCAGATTACTTATTCTGCCCTCAAGCAACCTATCTATTGAATCATAGTCTTTGGTGGGGATTTTTTTTTTTTTTTTTAAGCTCCCTAGGAGTTTCTGTGCATACTAAAGTTAGAGAACCTTAAAATAGATAAAACCAACTGGTTGCCTTATTTTTCATATTTCTATTGAACAGCATTGTGTAAGTTCTATTTCAATTTACCTCTAAGTTGTTTTCAGTCTTACAAAGCAAATAAGAATGTTCGCACAAAGGGAAAATTCTTTGCAATTTTCAAAGTCTTAGAAATTTCTAATGAGCAAAATGAAAATTAGAGTTGATAATAAAAATGGAACTGGGCTGGGGGAAGGAGTTCAGTGGTAGAAGCACTTGCCCAGCATTCACAAGGCCCTGGGTTTGATCTCTGGTGCCGCAAAAAACCAAAAAAGTTAAAACCAAAACACAACAGCAAAATGGAACCAAATACTGGAGTTATTTGACAACCAGGTTAGCATTTTATTTCTCTATTCCTGACACACTCAAATTCATAGGAAGTGAAAAGATAACAGAACAAAATCAAAATAACATACAAACACAATTCAAAAACATTTAACCATCTATTATAGTTGTTCTTTGTAAAATACACAAAAGTAAACAGAAACATCTTCATATAAATTATGCTTAACAATCTGTATATACTGTAAAACAATTGTTATAATTCACACTAAGATCCTAGTGCAAGCAGTGTTCTGTGAAAGTGCAAACAAAGTTAGTGATAAACAATTGATCACCGACTTACCACCTCAACATATTTTGCATTCAGCCAAATACTTTTTATGAATTTTAAAGTAACTTGACCACATTCACCTGAGTGCTCTTGCTTTAGTATGGCAACTGATTATGAGTTCAGGTTAGGAGCAGCACCAGGGAATACAGACACTCATGTGAAGTTGGCCATTCTGACATGAATCTTTATACTTGATAATGACAATTCTGGAAAACAAACAAACAAACAAACAAAAAACCCTTTCTGTCAAAACTATAGAATTGTCACCCTCTTTTAACCCCCCAAATTAAATCTAATTCCCCATTTAAAATGCATGCTTAAGAATCCATGCACTCCAGTGCAATTTTTCCAAAAATAATTCAGCATGAAATCACTTTTCCATTTCTGTCCTAAGATCTGTTTGGGATAGGGACACACCTGAAACGAAAGTTTGCTTTGGATGACCTTGCTTACTTTCCTCTGATGACTTTGGATTCTATTTTAAAGAGGAAAAAGTCCTGAAAAATCAATCAATGGCATTGAATATATTAGCTATTTAGTGTTCTAAATTATGAGAACAAAAATCCATTGGTTCAGAACTTCATCTAAAATAGACTGTGGATTTCCTTCCTACTTAGGGATCTTTTAAATTCAAGTGTGTGCATGTGGGTGGTGGGGGTTGGTATATGAAAGGGATGGTTACAGGGCTCAGGAGTGGAAAGGTGGTTTTAACAAAAATCCCATTCACTTTATACACAGAGGCACGGTAACATATTCCAAGAGCTTTTTTGTTGTTGTTGTTGCTGTTAAAAAGCACCAACTTGAACTTCAAAAGAACAACAATAATGGAAATGAGTAGAAGTATTATCATGCAGTTTTGATAATTCAGTCCTTAATTAGAGCATACCGTTTTTTTTTGAACTCTTGTATTTATAGCAGAACCTGTTTTTTTAATAAGTTTTTATTACTCATTAATTTTGCATTAAGGAATTTATATTTACTGTCTAGTTTTTTCATAAACCTTTATGTCAAAATATGTAAGATTTTTTTGAATACTCGAGGTTTGTTTTTTATTTGTGAAATATCACCAAATATGTCTAAAAATGACCCAAATAGTACATTCTAAATAAGATAACTAGGAAATTTTTAAGAAAATATAAGCCGTTTTCATGTATTCTGGTCAAATTTTACTTGGCAATAAATCCTTGTGGGGCTTGGGGTGTAGCTCAGTGGTAGAGTGCTTGCTAAGCATGCATTAAGCCCTGGGCTAAATCTCCAGTACTGCAAAAAATAAATAATAAAAATAAAAATAAAAAAAAGTCCTTGTGAATTTCGGTCATGTAAGTGATTAACAAGATCAAAATACCACAATGAGTCACATACCAAATAAAGAGTTTCAGAAATGTAAACTTTTCCCTGAAATGATAACTAGAAGTACATTGTTTTTAATGATGAAATTTTTGAAAATATTTTTTTCTTTTTCTTTTTTCTTTGTGGTACTGGGCCTCATGCCTGTTAGGCAAGTGCTTTACCACTGATCTAGTAGTCTAGATCCCTAGCCCAGTGATGGGTTTTAAATGTGATTAATAAAATCATTTTCCAGAAGACAAGAAACACTATCATCATAGCTAACATCCTATTTTAATGGTTTACAAGTATTTTACATGCTGGAAAGTATCATGAAGAAGTGGAACCAGTGGAAAACAATGTTCTGCCTTTATGTTGTAAACCACAGTAAATCTGTATATGGAGACAGGAAAACAAAACTAAAATTTAGATCTATTGCAGGTAATATCTGAATTCAGACATCTTTGGCACTCATTCAAAAAGATATTGGTTCAACTAAGCCAATAGTGAACAGTATTTTTTTCATATACTTTAGGATGGCTGGGCATATAGCTCAGTTAGTAGAGCACTTGTCTAGCATGTACAAGGTCCTGGGTTCAATCCCCAAAACCATAAAAAAAAATCATATATTTTAGAAAACATCTGTTACCAATTTAAAATGCTGTCATTTCCATTCTAAAAATTCACTAAGCCAGGTGTGGTGACACATGCCTGTAATTCCAGCAGAGTTGCTAGGAGGCTGAGGCAGGAGAATTGCAAGTTAGAGGCCAGCCTCAGCAACTTAGCAAGATCCTATCTCAAAATAATAAATAAAAAGGTAAATAAAAAGGGCTGGGGATATAGCTCAGTGGTAGCGTGCCCCTGGTTTCAATTCCTAGTACCAAAAAAAAAAAAAAGATTCACCAAGATAAACTAGATGTTATCAACTTAACCACTTATGGTCCAAAAGTATAATAAATAGCAGTCATTCAAACAGATGTGGACTTAAAACAACTTTAAGAATATAAAAGTGGGCTCAGACCTTACAATTGTAGAGTTTTGGACTTCAGATTTTAGAATGTTGTTTGCATGATGCCTGTTTGTATAAAATCCAGTCTTAACTTGTATACAACAGTGTTAATAACTATACTTTAACAGCTTTTAGTGTGGGGCACAGAATTAACCTCTTTTCCCTACATTTGCCTAGGAAACACTCCACAGGGGCACATTCATTTACAGAGTTGCCTTCTACATATGTTTCTCTCAATCTGCTTCCTGGAAGGGGAGCTTTGACCTAGTGAATGTGCTCTGGAGGGGTTCTCAGCTCTGGCTGGTTAAATCCTCTGGCTGGGAGTGGAAAGAAAGCTGGTTGCAGCTAAATGTAGCCAGCTCTACTTCTAGTGCCTCGGGACATAAGACTCTTACATTATTGGGAAAATATCCACCATTTAGTGACCTGTTTCTTTGATCCCAGTGTCAGAGCTAGAATGAAGGTTCTCGAACAAACTATTTTACCAAGAACCTGTTAATTTTTTTCCTTTTTACCAATTGATGCCAAAATGATTAGAGTATTATAACAGCTCCTCTAGGAAATACATGCAGAAAGGTATGTCCCTGAAGGTAGTGAAGACAGATACCCATGAACAAGATGCAGTTGTTTTCTAATAAGGCTTAGCTCTGTATAGTCAGGATTTTAGGAGCGAATACTGTAAACCATCTGGCACATAAACCAACAGGCTGCAATGTCATTTTCTAATTTTCCCTTAGTGCTACTGATGTCTCTAGGCAGAGAAGAAATTCTTTCATTTTCACTTAGAAACAAGCTGAAAGTGAAATAGAATAGCCAAATTACTAAAACCAAGTGTTAAGAAATGATCTTGTTGGCTTACTAATTCCTTCTAGTCACATTCCTCAATCTGTATCTGCTTCATAGGTTACATTATCAATGACAGAAAGAAATATACCAACTTTGCCTGGGGAAATGGCTAGAGAAAACACTAAGGTTGATATTCAAATTATTCTTGATGGAATTGCAACAATCTCTTCTCAGTGGAACTGGTTAAATATACTATAAAAACTTGCTTATAATTAGAAGAGAACTCTTATGATTCATTTTGGGCACTTACCTTTCATCTTATTTTACTCATGATGGGAATCTCAGACATATAAAAAGAACTCAACTTCTTAGGAAATTATAATGCTTTTAAAAACCAACTAAATTTTCATTAGTGAGTCTAACAGTGAGGATGTGGACACTATCACATAGCAAGTTTTATATCTAAAAACGAGCCTTTGTGATTAAAAAGGAAGAGCTAGCTGACAGCAATTAAGAAAAAAAAAAAACACATTCATTTTCTTCCTACCAGGAAGCAAAAATATCCCAAAGAACGCAGAAGAGCTATAGGATAGAAGTAAAATCCTCACAGAACAAGCTGTTTCTTTGTCCTTAGATATGCAGGTCTACACAACAAAACTGTGCATAGGATCCTACCTGTTGCGTGCCCTGGGAAGTACCTATAAATGAGACTTGTGCCTGTCACTATTTTTGGCGAAGTACAGGTTACCAAACTAGATACCAGTTAAACTTGAGCGCTTCAGCATTAGATAACTGGGATGGAACTACAAGGCCTACGAAACTGAGGCTCAACCTTGCATACTGTAGATGTGCTTTTCTTCAGAAGGTTGATCCCACAGGGACTGGGACATACAGTCCACCAGCACTGGAAATGGCAGCATTACTGATAAAAATACACATGATTCCAAGAGAAATGTGGTACCAGATGCAACCAACTACAACTGCTACATTGTAAATGCAAAAGCCTTTAGGGACTTAAACATTATTCTAAATATTCTAAAGGAATTTCCTTTCCCAAAACCCTCTCCTGTATATTAAATATTTTAAAATTTAAGAATATACTTAGTTAAATAAGACACATTCAAATGAAACATTTGCCCAACAAGGATACCAAACATTAGAGTTTGTTTTATTGCATGACGTTTGCATAAGAAAAAGTATTATTGAAAATTGTAAGGCATCATGCAATCATTGATAAGCTAATTATTAACTGTACACTCGAGAGGCAGACAAATGATCTAAAATTTAAAAACTAGTACCAGAAAAGTACATAAAAAATTTAACACGATGAGCTTTTAAATATGGTTTATATTTGTAGATTCACAATGTTAAAAAGTGCTTCAAATGTACTGCTGCAAAGTTGCTCTTTATAAATGGTGCTGGGGTAAACGTCAGATTATAAACTTTAAAAACTATTTGTATGGAATTAGAAAGCAAACATTGGGATATTCAAACTTACTTGAATCAGTTTTCAATTCTCACTCAAATTAAGTTGATATAATATTAATAATCTAAAAAACATCTATTTTAAATCCAACAAAAGTCTATTGAATTCAAGTTATGCATGTTGAGTGATCAAATCTCTGAGTAGGCCTGAATGTGAGACCTGGAGCAGAGGCGGGTAGATGTCTATGTTAATCAATGTACTGTGCCATCCAGCGGAATCCTTCTCCATAACCTTGTCTTTTGAGCACACTGCACATGAAAACTTCTAAAGGTCGGGCATTCAGTTCTTTCAGCGATACATTGCCCTGGAAGAAAAGAGAGACACGTTGGAGCTTTATGAAATAAAAGCTCTACTCCCCAGTAGATAGTAGGTTCTACTTTATGTTTTTAATATTTATCTTTTCATTGTAACTGGACACAATAACTTTATTTTATTTATTTATTTTTATGTGGTGCTGAGGATCGAACCCAGGGTCTCGCATGTGCTAGGTGAGCACTCTATTGCTGAGCCACAGCCCCAGCCCAAGAATAAAAATATTCTATCATAGAAAAAAAATACAAAGTGGCTTCATGGATAATAGAGACAACATTCTGAGTAGGTTTATGACCAAACTAGATATTTTTAATGTAAAGCTGACTTATTAAAAAGAAGACAAATGGGTGTGGTGGTGTATGACTATAATCCCAGCAATTTAGGTGGCTGAGGCAGGAGGATGGTGATTTCAAAGCCAGCCACAGCAATTTAGTGAGGCCCTAAGCAACTCAGTGAGATCCTGTCTGTAAATAAAATACAAAAAAAGGGTGGCAATGTGGCTCAGTGGTTAAGTGCCCCTAGGTTCAATCCCCAGTACCAAAAAAAGAAAAAAAAAAAAAAAAAAAAGCTTGTATAATTTAAAGACACTTAAGGAGAGAGAGAGAATTTTTTTAATATTTATTTTTTAGTTATCGGCAGACACAACATCTTTGTTGGTATGTGGTGCTAAGGATCGAACCCGGGCCGCACGCATGCCAGACGAGTGTACTACCGCTTGAGCCACATCCCCAGCCCAAATATATATATTTTCAATTGTAGATGGACACAATACCTTTATTTTATTTATTTAGTTTTACATGGTGCTGGGGATCGAACCCAGGGCCTCACACATGCTAGGCAAGCACTCTACTTCTGAGCTACAACTCCAGCCCCTAATTTAAAGACACTTTTACTGCAGAATTAAATATTCACATCTGTCAAACTTTTTTTTTTTTTTTTTTTTTACCTTTCCTGTTGTCTGACCATATAAACCAAACATTTCTCGTAACCTCTCTTCACTGATAGCTTCAGGTCTGTCAATCTTATTCCCAAGAATCAGTATAGGCACATTAGCAATGGTTTCATCTGTCATTAGTGACTAAAAAAAAAAAAGAGCAAAAAAATACAAAAACAATCAAGGACTCATTCTCTACATTACACAACATGCTGATTTTTTTGGCAAACTTTTCCCACATCTTAAGGTAAATACAATGGACTCATAAATTTGATTCTTATGTCTCCCAAAAGCTCTTTCTGTAAATGTTCATTCTGCTCACTATGTAAATCAGTGAGGTAGAGTTGCTACAGCTAACCCCTTGGAGGTGGGCAGACATCGTTTCACTTCTGGTTCTGCTGCTTATGAGTTGCAACCATAGGCAAGTTAGCTTCACAGAAGCTCAGACAGAATAGAGAATAGTAGCACCTACCTTATGGAATTGATGTGAGAATTAAATGAAGTAATAGTGCACGTCTACAATGCCTGGCACATAGGAGGAATCAGGAACTCCCAGACCATGTTCCATGACCACAGAATCCATTTGACTATTCCATATAAAGGAGTATTTGTCTGCTCTGGGCAGAGGTATGATTTGCTTCAGTAAAAGCACAGAGCTACTTTGGTCCCAGATCTATTTCTGGTCTTATCTGCTATTCCTGAGACCCTTTATAAAGCATCTGGCCTGGGAGGGGAAAGGAGAGGTAGCTAAACATGTACCTGCTCACTTTTGGAAGTGGTGACAAAGATGACATATTATACTATTTCTAAATTCTAGCCAATTCCTGAAGAAATGGCATTCTAAGAAGGACTAGGGACTCAAGATAAACCCCACTCCAAGAATGCAGTACACATGAAATATACTAGGATGGGCACACTTTGTAGAGGGTGAACCCCTAGAAGAGTCTTTAAGAAGGTTGTCTATGTTCATGTTTCCTCAATAGCTACAATTACTGCAAGTAATTCCTGCATTAAGTAGTAATCACTACTTAAAGCAGTCACTAAGCTCAACAAATTTTCAGGAGTTTCATCAGAGAGTACAGAAAGGCTGCATTCTGACACCATATTTCCAATTTATTTCTTCAGGTTTACCAGAGTGCTTTTACTATGCTTAGTTTTAATTATTTAACTTACATCAAGTTCTTCTTTTGATTCTAACAGCCTTTCATGGTCTGCACAATCCACAAGAAATACAATGCCATTGATAGCAGGAAGGTAGTTTTTCCATACTCTTCGGGCTAACAAAAACAATCAGGAGTTAGAGAATTTATTTGCTGGTCAAACCTAGCAGATGGTTTGAATGAAGTGTCCAACAAGATAGTAAAGAAAAGCCAGGTGTGGTGGTGCACATCTGTAATCCCAGCGGCTCAGGAGGCTGAGACAGGAGGATCGCAGGTTCAAAGCCAGACTTAGCAATGGCAAGGTGCCAGGCAACTTAGTGAGACCTTGTCTCTAAATAAAATACAGAACAGGACTAGGGATGTGGCTCAGTGGTTAAGTGCCCCTAAGGTTCCATCCTCAGTACCAAAAAAAAAAAAAAAAAAAGATATTAAGAGTAGTTCTCCAAGGTGGGCACAGTGACACACACTTGTAATCCTAGCAACTTGGGAGGCTGAGGCAGGTGGCTTGCATGTTGGCGGCCAGTCTCTACAACTTAGCAAGACCCTATATCAAAATAAAAAATGAGCTACATCCCCAGCCCTATTTTGTATTTTATTTAGAAACAGGGTCTCACTGAGTTGCTTAGCGCCCCTCGCCATTGCTGAGGCTGGCTTTGAACTCAAGATCCTCCTGTCTCAGCCTCCCAAGCTGCTGGGATTACAGGCATGGCACACTGCGCCCAGCTAGATTATAATTCTTACTAATCTTCACATCCCCAAAATTAATTTATATATATAAATAATTATTTTGTGTATCAATTATTTTATGTATCAAATGTGCTTACACTAGCCACAACCATTTAAAATCCTTTCAAATATACATAAGAACAGCTTTTTAGAATGCCCATTAACTCTGTAATATGCATTAGTTATGACTTACTATGTGCTGGACATTGTCAAGTACTTTTGGGGATAAAAAATAAATTTAGATTTCTGTAGAATTTTAGTCCTACAATTTAATTTAGGAGATAAGATAGTCTTTCCTAAGCTTGCTGCAGACCTGTGCACACTGTAAAGTCTAAGGAAGCTAAACTGAGAGCACTCTAAGCTGGGAGTGGCTTCCCCGGGAAGGCAGCAGAATGTACACTGGGCCCTGAACTAGTTACTTATATACACACATGGGGATGGCATGAGCAAAAGCACAGAGATCACTAAGCTTTGGTTTGGATGGAATAAACAGAATGGGACTGTGTGCAGTAGCTCACACTTAGGCAGGAACATTACCAATTTAAGGCTAGCCTGGGCAAATAGTGAGACCCTGTCTCATGATAAAAATTTTTAAAAGACTGGTTATGTAGCTCTGTGGTAGAGGGTTTGCTTACATGCTCAAGGCCCTGGTTTATGCTCAATCCCAGAACCACCAAAAGAAAATAATAATAATAGTAATAATAATAAAAATAAAATAAAATACAATAAAATAAAGGGTGAGGGAGGGAGTGGAGAGGAGAATATCAGGGAAAAAAAGACAAGTCCATAGTACATACCAGAGACACTGAATGCCAGGTCAATAAATTTGGCCTTATTATTTTAAGTAATGAATTATCTACTGAAGGTGTTTTCAGAGCAGATACATATTCATAACATAATTACAACAACAGATGATAGGTAGACTGAAGCAGAAAGAATGGAAGCTAAATTTCACTCATATTTTTAATCAACATAAGCAACTTACACTAAAACTGACCAGGAATATTATGAAAATTACCTCTTGCTTTTAAAGCATTTATCTGGGGGGTAATAATAATCCCTAAACTTTAAGTCTACTCTGGCTTTGCTTAAATAGAATGAGATTTCATGCACTGGAACATAATGGCCTTTCAACCAAGTTAAAATAAAACAAAGTGACTGTAATAGTAACAGAATCTTACCTTGAACATGTCCACCCAGATCAAAAGTTGTAAAAGTCATACCAGCAATAGTTAATTCTTCTGAAGCTAAAAAAAATAATACAATATTTTTATGATATAAAAATTAGAAATTCATTCAGAGCATGCATTATAACCTAATATTTGATTTACTGTAATTACAAATAAGGACAATGAAACATTTAGGAACTAGTAAAAGAATATTTTGTTATGATTAGTTATAATCCAATTAAAACAGATAATATAACACAAAAAATCATAATAGCCAATTCTGATAATCACTATCCATAATAAATCTAACATTTGTTTTTCCTTTTCTCATTTCTGCCGAAAATATTAACCTAGACAATTATGGCTCTGAATTCAAATGACTATTCCAATCTAAAACATTTTCATGTAATTCTTTATTTTGAAGGGGAGTACTGGGGATTGAATTTAGGGTCCTTCAGCCACTGAATCACATCCCCAACCCTATTTTGTACTTTATTTAGAGATAGGATCTCACTGAGTTGCTTAACCCCTCATTTTTGCAGAGGCTGGCTTTGAACTCATGATCCTCCTACCTCAGCCTCCCAAGCCGCTGGGATTACAGGCATGTGCCACTGTATCCAGCTCTTGTAATTCTTCTTAAATGATGCAAGTGAAATAATCTAATAATATTTTCTTATGGCCATCATAAAACATTCTTCCCCCGCAACTGCTGGGGATTAAACCTAGTACCTCCAGGTATTCTACCATTGAGCAATATCCCCAGTCTCAAGACAGTCTAAAAGCAAACAGAATTTATAATAAAAAACTGGAAACATTACTTCTTCAATTTTTTTCTGCTCTCTCCTTTCTCCTTCTGGAATTTCACTTACAAGTCTCTTAGACTACCTGATATTGTCTTATAAGTCACTGAGGCTCTTTTTATTTTCCTTTCAGTCATTTTTCTCTCTGTGCTTCATTCTTTTTTTTTTTTTTTGTAAGCAGCAAAGAGGTGTTTATTGCGAGCTAGTTCGGTCCTCCGCGCATACATAGCAACTGGTGACACTGAGAGGCCTCTGTGCTTCATTCAGTCTAGTGCCTATCACTGGTCTTTCCTTCTGCAGTATTGGCACTGTCTAATTTGCTGTTAATCCTATCCAAAGAAATTTTCATTGTTAGAAGTTTCATTTGGGGGCTGGGGATGTGGCTCAAGCAGTAGCGCGCTCGCCTGGCATGCATGCGGCCCGGGTTCGATCCTCAGCACCACATACAAACAAAGATGTTGTGTCCGCCAAAAACTAAAAAATAAATATTAAAATTCTCTCTCTCTCTCTCTCACTAAAAAAAAAACAAATTAAAAAAAAAAAGTTTCATTTGGGGCTGGGCATGGTGGTGCAGGCCTATAATTGCAGAGATTTGGGAGGCTGAAGCAGGAGAATCACAAATTCAAAAACAGCTTCAGCTACTTAGCAAGATTCTATCTCAAAATAAAAAATAAAAATGGCTGGGGATGTGGCTCAGTAATTAAGTGCCCCTGGGTTCAATCCTTGGTTTAAAAAAAAAAAAAAAGTTCCATTTGGTTCCATCTTCCATTTCTCTCCTCATTAAGTACATGTTTTCCTTTAAATCCTTGGGCATACAACAGCTTTTTTTTTAGAGAGAAAGAGAGAATGTTTTAATATTTATTTTTTAAATTTTTTAATATTAAATTTTTAATATTTATTTTTTATATTTTTAATATTTATCTTTATTTTATTTTTATATGGTGCTGAGGATCAAACCCAGGCAAGCGCGTTACCGCTTGAGCTACATCCCCAGCCCACAACAGCTGTCTTAATGACCTTATCTGTCCATTCCATCATCTTCTATCACTTTGGGGTTTGTTTCTTCTGATTGCATTTTTCGCCTCACTTCTCTAGTTCTTTTTTTTTTTTTTTTTTTTTTTTTTTTTTTTTTTTTTTTTTTTAATTTTTTATTGTGGGTTGTTCAAAACATTACAAATTTCTTGACAACTTCTCTAGTTCTTTATGTGTCTAGTAATTTTAACAATGGATGCTAAATTTTGTTGTATTTCTTTGGATTTTGCCTTGGAGGACTGTAAATTGCCTGTAGATTCATTTTTAAGTTCTGTTAGGAAAAAACAGCTTTTCTTTGGGGCTACTTTAGCCCCATTACTAAAGTATGATCCCTCTGGGTCCTCTATTCAATGCCTGTGTATCTGATCAAATATGCCCATTCTAGCTAGAAGGACTTGAATATTCACAGTCCTTTGTAAGCTTTAGTAATGATTTGGCTGATAGCTCCCTATAATTGTTCTTTCTCCAGAAATGATTCCTTGATTAACCTTGTGGAGTTTTTGTTGTATGCATGTACAGAATGGTGTTCAGCCATGCACATTTCTAGAGTTATTTCTATTGAGCTCCCCCTTCCCTCCCAACAAACTCTCATTACTTTGGCCTCCCCAAAGTCTGTTCTCTTGTCTCCAACTTAGCAAGACTAGAGGGCTATGTTTGGGTTTCCTTTCTTTGCACAATGGTCTGAAAATTACCTCCTATCAGAAAGCTAGAATAAAGAAGTTTTCCTTCTTTCAGGAATTATAATCTTGTGCAATTGCCCAATCCTTGAAAACAGTTGTAGTCATATGATTTTTCTGTCTAGTTATCTAATCATTTATAGTGAAAGAATAATTTCATACTGTTACTCTTCCTTCTAGACCAGAAACAGAAGTTCCCCCATAATTACAGTGGAAGTGCTAGTGTTAACTACTCTAGCTCAGAGTAGTTTATTTTATTAACAAACTATTGTTAGAGTAGCAAATGAATTAAATATTTATATAATCATTGTTCAAAGTCACTAACCATAAGGAAAAGATAATGCTTGGATATGGCTGGCAAACCACTTCTGTGGTTATAATCACCAATACACTCTTCGTTCTGTTTTTTTTTTTTAAAGTCCTGGTTTAATTAAGATACAGAACACTGTTAAAACATCCCAGAAAAGTCCCCTATTGTCTCCTCCCAGTTAATTACCAGCTCCACCCCCCAGAAACAAACATTAATCTGAATTCTATCACCATAGGTTAGTTTTGCCTGTTCTCAAATATGAGATAAATATACAGCAGGTAACTTTTGGTGATCAGCTTATTCTGTGTAGTATAATATGACTGAATGTAGTTTATTCCCTTTCTTGCTGAGTTGTATCCCACTGCATATTCATTCTTTTTTAAATAGACATCTGAGGTGTTTCTAGTTTTTTGGCAACTACAAAATAAAGCTGGATTAAAGACTCCTGTATAAACTTTTTGGTAAATATGTCTTCATTTTTCCTGGATAAAACACCTAAAGTAGAATTGTTATATCACAGGATATATGTATGTTACCTCTTTTTTTTTTTTTGTGGTGCTGGGGATTGAACCCAGGGCCTTGTGCATGTAAGGCAAGCACTCTACCTACTGAACTATATCCCCAGCCCTCACATATATTCTTTATATATACATATATATATATAAAAAACCACAATTTTTTAGTTGTAGTTGGATACAATACCTTTATTTTATTTATTTTTATGTGGTGCTGAGGATCGAACCCAGGGCCTTGCAGGTGCTAGGTGAGCACCCTACTGCTGAGCTCCAGCCCCTCACATATTCTTTTAATTAAAAAATGTTGGGCTGGGGATGTGGCTCAAGCGGTAGCGCACTCGCCTGGCATGCGTGCGGCCCGGGTTCGATCCTCAGCACCACATACAAAGATGTTGTGTCTGCCGAGAACTAAAATAAATAAATAAATAAATAAATAAAAAAAAAAAAATGTGAGCTATAATTAATGTTAGCTGCAGCAAAGTGAAGACAGCATCTGTTTAGTGCCACTGTTGTATCCATAGCATTTAGAAAAATGTTTGGTTTTGAAGTAAGCACTCAATATTTGGTGAATAAATGAAAGACAGCAACATCAAAAAGTAAGAAAGCAACTTATACCACTCTAGAGGTAGGTCTCTTCCAATTCTGCTGTTTTTGCAATTTTATATATTAAATTTCACCATGATCATTTTCTCTAACAGTACTGTTCTTGTATCAGAATCTTATTTATCAAGCCCCCCCTCTTCTAATATAAAAAAGATTTATCAATTTTATGAAATGTTCCTTTTCTAACCTAATAGTTTTATGGAAAAAAATAGTTTTGTTCTCTTCTCCTTCCTTAGTCATTTTTCACCCCCACTACAGGGGATTGAACAAGGGCACTCTACCACTGAGATACATTTCGAGTCTTTTTTATTTTGAGATAGATTCTCACTAGAGTTTGGCCTTAAATTTACTTCCTCAGTCTCCAGAACAGCTGGGATTATAGGTGGGTGTTACCACACTTGCTCTTTGAACATTTACTGAACAACTATTATCTGCTTTTTGGTCTAGTTTTCAATTTTATACTCCTTATTAAAGCTACACTGGCTCTGATATGTGACTTCTAACACACAATAAGGCAGGGAGAGAAGAGAAGTTCATTAGATTACACAAAAGAGAATGAAAGGAAAGAAGGAGGGATGAGAATAGGAAAGACAGTAGAATGAATTGGACATAACTTTCCTACATTCATATATAAATACACGACCAGTGTAACTCCACATCATGTACAACCATAAGAATGGGAAGTTACACTCCATGTATGTATAACATGACAGAAACAAACTGTCATGTATATCTAAAGAGAACAAGTTTAAACATACACACACACATATATATACACAAAACAAAAATTAAAAAAAAATAAATAAAGCTACACCAGGCTGGGATTACAGCTCAGTGTTAGAGCACTTGCCTAGTATGTGCAAGGACCTGGGTTCCATTGCTGGCACCACAATAAATAAATACACTCCTTAATCCATCATTAATCTTTTTTTTCCCCCCAGGGCTGAGGACCAGACTCAGGGCCTTGCGTGTGCTAGGCAAGTGCTCTGCCACTGAGCTAAATCCCCCAACCCCACATCATTAATCTTGTATTATCTTTCTTTAAACATTGTACCTACCTGATTTATAATCTTTCACTAGCAAAAGTAAGGTCACAGGTATGTATAAATTCATTTTAGGCCAGGCATGGTGGCATACACCTATAATCTCAGTGGCTCAAGAGGCTAAGGCAGGAGGATCACAAGTTCAAAACTAGCCTCAGCAACTTAGCAAGGCCCTAAGCAATCCAGAAAGACCCTGTCTCCACATAAAAAAGGGTTGAGGATGTGGGTCAATGGTTAAATGTCCCTGGGTTCTATCCTGAGTATCCCCTACCCCAAATCATTTTAACATTAGCTTTACTTTCTTTTTTTTTTTTTTTTTTTTTTTTTTTAAAGAGAGAGTGGGAGAGGGAGAGAGAGAGAGATAGAGAGAGAGAGAATTTTTTTAATATTTATTTTTTAGTTCTTGGCGGACACAACATCTTTGTTTGTATGTGGTGCTGAGGATCGAACCCAGGCCGCACGCATGCCAGGCGAGCGTGCTACCGCTTGAGCCACATCCCCAGCCCAGCTTTACTTTCTAAAACATATTCATTGGGGCTGGAGATGTGGCTCAAGCGGTAGCGCACTCGCCTAGCATGCGTGAGGCCCAGGTTCGATCCTCAGCACCACATACAAACAAAGATGTTGTGTCCGCCGAATACTAAAAAATAAATATTCAAAATATTCTCTCTCTAACATATGTAACTGTTTAAAAAAAAAAAACATACTCATTATATAAACTTATTTCAGGATGGTATGAATTAAGTAATTTACAGGATGATTACTAATGTCTTTCTAAAAGAAAATAGGAAAGTATTTTAAAAATTGCTTTACAATTTTCTTTTTTTTTAAATATTTTTAGTTGTAGATGGACATAATAACTTTATTATTTATTTTTATGTGGTGGTGAGGATTGAACCCAGTGCCTCATACATGCTAGGCAAGTGCTCTACCACCGAGCCACAACCCCAGCCCCTGCTTTACAATTTTCTACATCAGTACATGCCCTGTTTTTTGGCATAATTCTATAGTGTGTATTTTTAAAATATTTATTTATATCGTGGCACCAGGGATTAAACTAGGGGCCTGGTGCATGCTAGCCATTTGCTGTACTTCTGAGCTACATCCTTAGCCTCCGTCAGCCTCACATCCTTTAGCATGGGTGTATATTAGATATTGTTGACATTTTCAGGAATTAAAAAAATAACTGAGTAACAAGTTGAGCGTTACCAGCAATGTATAAAACCATAAACTATCTACTGAGCAAGTGATTAAAATAGTTTGGTTTTAAAATACATTAGAAATTCAGGCTATGTAAACAAGATAATCACGACTATATACTGATCATGTCATAATCTCTGAGAATTTTTTTAAGTTTTTTAGCTAGAAAAGGAAGTAGTAATAGATAAAATAGTATGAGTATTATTTGAAGACCTAAATATATTCCTTGGAAGCTAGGTAATTTATTATTTATTATACTATTTTAGGAACAGTTCACACAAACTGATCATAATATATCCATCAAAAACAAACAAAAACAAATCCCTTTTGGTTAGTGCATATGACTCAGCATCACTTTAATCAAGTATTATGTCAGATGGGGGAATATACTTACTGGGATGTAAGGTTGGGACATGTTGTCCAAGTCTGTCATCTTTTAGCATGTGTAGCAATGTTGTTTTTCCCGCATTATCCAGTCCAAGAAATACCAATTTACCGGTTTTCTTATATAATCCTGTAGATTATATTAAAAGCTCTGATTAGTCAAAGTGATATTGACATAGATTATCCAAATGACTTTAAATTTTGCCTGAATAAGCATGAATTTCTAAATTTATTTTCAGGGCTGGGGATGTGGCTCAAGCGGTAGTGCGCTCGCCTGGCATGCGTGCGGCCCGGGTTTGATCCTCAGCACCACATACAAACAAAGATGTTGTGTCTGCCGAAAACTAAAAAAATAAATATTAAAACAAAATTCTTGCACTCTCTCTCTCTCTTTTAAAAAAAATTAATTTATTTTCAGTCTTAACAGAACTATTTTACATCTATTCATAATTTGGGACTTCAAATAATTAAAAAACTAAACTTGACAACAGTTGGTGAAATATTTGTATCTCCTAAACATATCTGCAATAGTAAAAAGCTGATACATTCACAATTTAGGGGTAAAATCTGTGTTCTCTATTAGAAAAACACTGAAAAAAATACTTGATATCATGTATTTATAAAGCTAGACTGAGGAAAAAAATGTTTGTTTGTTTTTGTTATTGGGGATTAAACCCAAAGGAACCCTAATACTGAGCTATATCCCCAGCCCTTTTTATTTATTTATTTATTTATTTAAGTTGTAGATGGATACAATCTTTATTTATTTATTTTTATGTGGTGCTGAGGATCAAACCCAGTGCCTCATGTGTGTGAGGCAGGCACTCTACCACTGAGCTACAACACCAGACCACCCCTTTTTATTTTTTATTTTGAGAGAGGGTCTTACTAAGTTGCTTAGGGCCTCACTAAATTGCTGAGGCTGGCCTTGAACTTGCAATTCTCCTGCCTCAGCCTCCCCAGTTGCTGGGATTATAGGTGTGTACCACCCTACCCAGCAAGGATAATTTTTTTTTTTTTTTTGCTGGTCCTGGGAATTGAACCCAGGGCCTTGTGCATGTCAGGCAAGCACTCTACCAACTGAGCTATATCCCCAGCCTGAAGGAAATTTTTAAGTAAAGTTTTGTTTTGTTTAAAATTCTGGGGATGGAGCATTCTATCTCTGAGCTATATCCCCAGCACTTTTAAAATTTATTTATTTATTTAAATTTATTTATTTGGTACCAAGAATTGAACCCTGAGCCATGTCCCCAGCCCTTTTTTAAAATAATTTTTTTGGTAGTTGTGTATGGACAGAATGCCTTTATTTTATTATTTATTTTTATGTGGTGCTAAGGATTGAACCAGGTGTCTCAATCTGCCACTGAGCTACAGCCCCAGCCCCCAGCTCTTTTTTTTTTTTTTTTAAAAAAAAAAAAGAGAGTGAGAGACAGAGAGAGAGAGAGTGAGAGAGAATTTTTTTTTTTTTAATATTTATTTTTTAGTTTTCGGCGGCACAACATCTTTGTTTGTATGTGGTGCTGAGGATCGAACCCGGGCCGCACGCATGCCGGGTGAGCGTGCTACCGCTTGAGCCACATCCCCAGCCCCCCAGCTCTTTTTATATATTTTTTTATTTTGAGACAAGATCTGGCTACATTACTTAGGGCCTTGATAAGTTACTGAGGCTAGCTTTGAACTTGTGATCCTCCTCTCAGCCTCCGGGGCCACTGGAATTACAGGTCTGTGCCACCATGTCCAACTCAGTCCTTTTAAAAAAAAAAAATTAAATTTTTTCATTTGGGGCCAAGGTCTTACTAAATTGCTGAAGTTGGACTTTAACATTTGATCTTGTCTCAGCATTTCAAGTCATTGGAATTACAGTCCTGTGTCACCATGACTGATTAAAAACAGATTTTTTTTCATGAATGAAAACAAGTATTTTTGGTGAAAAAATAACAGTGAGCATTCTTTCAGCTAAAAAGTTAAGAGGTTAATTGTTGAATTTAATTTAACTTACTAAATTAGACTAAACTGTTGATCATAGGATTATATAAAACTAAGCTATAACAACAGAAACAAAAATCCCAAGTATATAATCTTAGACATATCAATGAGGCAATGATAAATTTATAAATGCTGAAAATGCAGCATTGACCAATTTATAGTAGACTGGCATTTAAAAGCTAAATATTGAACTTCATTCCTTTTTTGCTAGTACTAGGGATCAAACCCAGAGCCTCACACATGCTAGGCAACCATTCCACCATTGAACAACATCTCCAGCTCTGTTTTATTTTGGAATAAGGTCTTGATAAACTGCCCAGCCTGGCCTTGAATTGGTGATCCTCCTGCCTGAACCTCCTGAGCAGCTGGGATTACAGGTGTGTACCACCATGTCTGGCCTTAACTTTACTTTTTAAAATCAAATTTTGAGGCTAGGACTTAAACCCAGGGCCTCACACAGTCTAAGCATATACTTTACCACTAAGCTATACCCTCAACCTTCAACTTTCTTAGGTGCTTAGTTTTTTAACCCCATAGAATTGCAAGAGAACACAGGACTTATCTTTACTCATGGCAGAAGCTCAAAAAAATATTTACTCAATTAATAAATGAGGTTTTTAGGATATTAAGCACTTATGGTTTTTCTTTCTTTTTTTTCTTATATTCTGCTTTCCCCTTTAATTTTTTAAAATATTTTTTATTTGTTCTAATTAGTTACACATGACAATAGAATGCATTTTGACACATCATACTCAAATGGAGGCTTATGGTTTTTCTTGTGCATTTGTGTGTGTTATGTGTGTGGTACTGGGGACTGAGCCCAGGGTACACTACCACTGAGCTACATCCCCAGACCTTTTTATTTTTTTATTTTGAGAAAAAGTATCACTAAATTGCCAAGGCTGACCTCAAACTTATGATAGTCCTGCCTCAGCCTCTTGAGTAGCTAGATTACAGATGTGCAATCGACTACAAAATTTATTTCCTTTGTCAAGAAAATGTTCATGGAAGAAGAAATATTTATATAGGAGATATAATTCTGTAAGCACTGTGACCTGTCTGAAACTATGCCATGAAATCCAGTTCAAAAGATTGATGATTACAGAGAGACTAAATGCAGGGTAAAATTTGAAAATCAGGAGACTGGCAATATCTTCAAATGTTTGTTAATTATTCCAATAATAAAGCCATATATATATATATATATATATATATATATATCAACAGAAGTTAATTTGGCCAGGCACAGTGGTGCATACCTATAATCCCAGCTATTAGGAGGCTAAGGCAGGAGAATTGCAAGTTTGAGACTAGCAGAGGCAACAAAAAATCTAAAGGGCTGGGGATGTAGCTCAGTGGTAAATTGTCTCTGGTTCAATCCCTAGTTTGGCGGGGTGGGGTGGGGGAAGGGGTAAAGGGATGAATAATTAATATGATTGTTATGATTTTAAACCTTGCATTCTTGCTGGGCATTATATGCCTATAATCCCAGCTGCCTGGGCAGCTGAGGCAGGAGGATCACAAACTCAAGGCCAGCCTGAACAATTTAGCAATGCCCTGTCTCAAAGATAAAAAGGGCTGGGGAGGTAGCTCTGTGGTAAAACATCACTGGATTCACCTACAGTACCACAAAAAATAAATAAGCAAAAAAGCTTGCATTCTTAACTACTGGCTTATATATAAGAAGGCTCTATGCAAATAAGCATACTTATATATAAACAGATTAAATGGGATAACTATGGAGAACAACGGGCAGCCATTACCTAAAAACTGTAGTACACTGCTGAACCCACTGTAAATCCAATCGAATATGAAGGACATATCCAAATCTTACAGGGTCTGAAAAAGAGTTTTGAATTTAGTAGTCAACATTATATACCAACATTCATTAAACACTAACACCAACTTTGAATAAATAATACTACAACAATCTTACTATAAAGAGTTAAGCACTATTATCCAGGCCCCCATAACTTAATAGATACTGACACATAAAAAAGGAAAATGTCATTATAATACTAAGTAGAGAATGTTCTATGTCCATCTAAGTAACAAAATGAAAGAGAATTAACAACAATCTGAACTAAAAAGAAAGGGGCAAAAAGGCACACAGTTCATGGCAGTATAAAATAGTACCAATTTTTTCTTCTTTTTCTGGAGGAGAGGGGTGGTACTGAGGATTGAACCCAGGATCAGTCTACAACTGAGTTACATAACCAACCTTCTTTTCTTTTCCTTCCTTCCTTCCTTCTTTTCTTTCTTGATAGGGTCTTGCTATATTGCCATGCTGGGGACTGAACCCAGGGTACTCTACCACTGAACTCTCATCCTCCTGCCTGGCCTTGAGTTGCTAGATTATAGGTGTGTGCCACAGTCCCTGGCTTAGTGTAAATCTTTTTCTTTTATTTTTCTTTCTAAAAAATTTTTTTCTTTTTTCTTTCGGTACTGGGGATTGAACCCAGGGGGGCTTTGTCACTGAGCTACATCCCCAGCGCTTTATAATTTTTATTTTGAGACAGGATCTCACTAAGGTACTTAGGGCCTACCCAAGTTGCTGAGGCTGGTCTTGAACTTGCAATCCTCCTATTTCAGCCTCCTAAATTACTGGGATTATAAGAGTGTGCCATTGTGCCTGGTAGTACAAATCTTTTTCAAAACCAATTTGGCAATGTATCTGTTGATATCATTTGATCCAAGAATTCTTTATAAATTATCCTAAACGTAGAGAATCTTTATGCATAAATATACTCTTCATTAGTGTTATTTAAGAAAAATTTTGGAGCCAGGTATGGTGGTATATACCTATAATCTCAGCAACTTGTGAGGGTGAGACAGAAAGATCAAAAGTTAAAGGCCAGCCTCAGCAAATTAGCAAGGCCCTCAGCAACTTTGGTGAGACCCTATTTCAAAATAAAAAACATAAAGGACTGGGGATGTAGCTCAGTGGTAAAGCACCCCTGGGTTAAATCCCCAGTACCAAAAAAAAAAAAAAAAAAAAAAATTGGAGATAATCTATGTTCAGTAAGTTAAATAAATTATAGTATATACAGTCATGGGACATTTACTACATCCTTGTAGTGGGTATTGGAGGGAGAAAGGAGGAAGAGCAGAGAGAAAAGAAAGAGGATATTTTTGTTTGTTTGTTTTGTCCTGAAGCCTTTTTTTTTTTTTCAATTGCTTTTATTTTTTAAATACATGACAGTGGAATGCATCACAAGTCTTATTACACATATAGAACACAATTTTGTACATAAAGTATGTTCACATCAACTCCTGTCTTCATACATGCACTTTGGATAATGATGTTCATCACATTCCACAATCATTGCTAATCCCCTGCCCCCTCCCTTTCCTTCCCACCCCTCTGCCCTATCTAGAGTTCTTCTATTCCTCCATGTTCCCTCTCCCTACCCCACTATGAGTCAGTCACCTTATATCAGAGAAAATATTCGCCATTTGTTTTTTTGGGGATTGGCTAACTTCACTTAGCATTATCTTCTCCAGATAAAAAATGCCATAACTTTATTCTCTTTTATTGCTAAGTAATATTCCATTGTGTATATACACATTTTTTAATCCATTCATTTATTGAAGGGTATCTGAGTTGGTTCCATAGTTTAGCTATTGTGAATTGTGCTGCTATAAACATTGATATGGCTGTGTCCAAGAAAGAGGATATTTTTATAAGAAGGTTGTGGTAATGAAAAAAGTCTGATTATACCTGTGTGGAATAAAGACCCATTTTTTTTTTAATTTTTTATTGTTGGCTGTTCAAAACATTACATAGTTTTTTTTGTTGTTGTTTTTTAAATAGCAAGTGGTGCTAAGTGGTAAATTTCTTGCCTGTTATCTTTCTGTATTTTTCAAATTTTAATCATATTGCTCAATGCTAAAATTTTTTTAAATCATAGAAAATAAAATATAGTTTAGTTCATTATTTACTTAACAGATTTGATAAACTAATAGAGTAATATGGGAAATATGAGAAAAAGCCTCTTGAGAGAAGAAGGATCACACATATAAAAATATAAAAAAGGTCAACAAAGTTCATTTTTCAGATAGGAATAAAAGAACAGGCCCGAAACTTGGGTCAAGTTCAAAATTTTTCAAGGGTGTGCTTTCTTTATCATTCTTTAGACAAGTATGACATACACACACACTATTTAATATGTTTTTTTATATCTGTATATAAAAAAGAGAGAAACCAATCTTGCTTTTTAAAAATATTTTTAGCTATAGATGGACACAATATCTTTATTTATATTTTTATGTGGTGCTGAGAATCTAACCCAGTGCCTCACACATGCTAGGCAAGTGTTCTACCACTAAGCTACAACCTCAGCCCCCAATCCTGCTTCTTAAAAAAGAGAAATCAATCCTGCTTCTTATGTTTCTACTCAAAGCCCTATGTCCACAATTCTACAGAGGGCAACAAAGTGCAGTTAAGGAAAGCCTTCTGGGATAATAGTTAGCCTGAGTCTTAAAGATTAAGTAGGAATTTGCTAGAAGGTTGTGAAGAACTTACAGTGTACAGAGGTGTGAAACTGAATAGGTAAAGGTCAAAGGTCAAGTATGGTTGGGTGACACGATTGTGATAGGGTTGAACAGAGAGTAAAAATCAATGGGTCCTAACTAGTGAGACAGGAGCCAGAGTAATAGGAACCACTGAGTCAAGAACTTTTTTGTCACCAGGTATGGTGGCATGCACCTGCAGTCTCAGCTTCTCAGAAGGCTTAGGTAGCAATGTCTGAGCCCAGGAGTTTAAGGCCAGCTTGGGAAACAGAGTGACACTCTATCTCCTAAAAAAAAAAAAAAAAAAAAAAGTGGCAGGGTGGGGGCGATGGAGATGTAGTTCAGTGGTAGAGTACTTGACTAATATGCATAAGGTTTTGGGTTCTAGCCTAAGTACATCAAAAATAATCCTTAGGGAAACTTTGATATATACCACAATGGAACATTACTCAGCATTAAAAGAGAATAAAATCATGGCATTTGCAGGTAAATGGATGGAGTTGGAGAATATAATGCTAAGTAAGGCAAGCCAATCCCAAAAAACCAAAGGCCGAATGTTTTCTTTGAGGATGTTGACTCATAATGGCCATGGGGGGAGGATGGGAGGAATGGAGGAACTTTAGATAGGGCAAAGAGGAGGGAGTGGAAGGGAGGGGGCAAGCAGGTAGGAATGATGGTGGAATGAGTTAGACATCATTACCCTAAGTTCATGTATGAAGACATGAATGGTGTGAAAATACTTTGTGTACAATCAGTGACTTGAAAAATTGTGTTCTATATGTGTAATATGAAATGAATTGCATTCTGCCATCATGTATAACAAATTGGAATAAATACATAATCTAAAAAAATAATCCTTATATAACATTCCTGACAACCATCTTTTTTTGGGGGGGTGACACCAGGGACTAAACCCAGGAGCACTTAACCACTGAGCAACATCCCCAGTCCTATTTTTTGTATTTTATTTAAAGACACAGTCTCACTGAGTTGCTGAGGCTGGCTTTGAACTCTCAATCTTCCTGCCTTACCTCCCGAGCCGAGCTGCTAGGATTATAGACATGCACACTCCAGCTCCCAGCCTTTTTATATTTTATTAGAGACAGGGTCTCGCTGAGTTGCTTAGGGCCTTGCTAAGTTGCTGAGGCTGGTTTTGAACTCACAATCCTTCTGTCTCAGCTTCTCACTTCAGCCTCCCAAGCTGCTCAGATTACAGGTATTCACCAACACAACCAGTTCTAACTACCACCTTCATCTCAAAATGTGTCTCTAGCCATCTTTTTTGAGGGGAAAAGTACTGGGGATTGAACTCAGGTGCACTCAGCCACTGAGCCACATCCCCAGCCCTATTTTGTATTTTATTTAGAAACGGGTCTCACTGAGTTGCTGTTGCTGAGGTTGGCTTTGAACTCACAATCCTCCTGTCTCAGCCTCCCTAGCCACTAGGATTACAGGCGAGCACCACTGGCTCTATCCATCTGTACACTGTCTCCAGAATGGCTTTACCAAAATTTTATCTTGGACTTGACTTGTTATGTTGTCAGGGTGACCATAACTATCAGTCTGCTGAAGAGACTCTCAGCTCATACCTATTATATCTCTGTAATTTTTAATAGTGCTTCCATCACTCAGAAAGGCCCCTGTTTAGGTGATAAATTATTTGGCCACCTAAATTATGCAGTGGATGAAGAGCCACCAGTGGTGTTTTTTTTTGTTTGTTTGTTTGTTTTTGGTGTGTATGTGTATTAACCTTTTTTCTTTAAATCTATTTATGTATTTATTTATATGTGGTGCTGAGAATTAAACCTAGTGCCTCACAAATGCTAGGCAAGTACTCTACCACTGAGCTAAAACCACAGCCCCCACCACCAGTGTTTTGGTTTTTCTCCTGCTGGAGACCAAACTCAGGGGCACTTTATCACTGAGCAACTTCCTCAGCCATTTTTTAAAATAGATTTTTAAAAAATATTTATTTACCTTTTTTTACTTATAGGTGTACACAATATCTTCATTTTATGTGATGATCAAACCCAGAGGATCAAACCCAGAGCTTCACCTATGAGCCACAACCCTAGCCCTTCATCAGCCATTTTTATTTTTATTTTGAGACAGGGTCTTGCTATATTGATAAAGGGCTTGTCAAATTGCTGAGGCTGGCCTGAACTTATGACCCTCCTGCCTCAGCCTCCCAAATTGGGGATTACAGGTTTGTGCCACCTTGTTTGGTCCACTAGCGGTTTTTTATTTTTATTTTTAAAATATTTTTAAAATTGTAGATGGACACAATACCTTTTTTTAATTTTTTTTTTTTTTTAGAGAGAGAGAGA